ATATATATATATATATATATATATATATATATATATATATGGATTTAGCTTTTATCTCTCTTTGTGTGAACGGACACACACACACACACACACACACACACACACACACACACACACACACACACACACACACACATATATATATATATATATATATATATATATATATAATTAGCACCCCTCTACCTCGCCACATATATTTACTTATTCAGGCATAATTTACAATTCATTGAATCATATATAAGCCTGCCACCTAGACTTTCTCTAACTTATGTTCGTCTTGCCTGTTTAAAGATAAGAAAAATAAAGGTGAAGAGTAAAGCTAGTGTTTGAATGAGAAGGCTGGTACGCCATCTAGCGAGTAATAAAAAGTAAGTAAAATAAAGATGCATTACAAATAAGGCACAATCATTGTAACACACACATACATATAAGCATATATATATATATATATATGTGTGTGTGTGTGTGTGTGTGTGTGTGTGTGTGAGTGTGCGTATGTGTGTGTGTGTAATTTTTGTTGGATGCGTGAAGGAACAAGTTACTTATGTACCTTTAAGTTTTTCTGCGCCTTTCTTTCTGTGAATTGACCCCGTTACAGTTTTACACAATTCCCGCCTGCGTTTCTCCCGCCTTTTTAGCTCTCTTGTCCGATAGAGACGTGGAGTGGTGCGTGGAGTGGGTTTGAGAGTAAGGAAAAAAGGGCAAGGGGACACCTTCTTTCATATCAACTGGTGTCGCTAATGAGCACTAGTTTTCGCTCAACGGAGGCTGATCCGCCTTGTTCATAGAGATTCGAACATTTTAGCGTAGCACCTGCCGATTCACTTCCCTCACTCCGTCCATCCGTGCGGCCGTCTATCCCGCCCGACTCTCATTTTTTGTTTTATTTTACTTTTTCTTGTATTTTATAGATTTTTCGTCCATCGCTTTTCTCAGCAGTCACACGGCCTGGCGAAATATTTACAAATTTACCTTTATCTTTCTTATCGATATCGCTACATAACCTATCTCTCTATCTAAGTCTGTTCATATCTATCTATCTATCTATCTATCTATCTATCTATCTATCTATCTATCTATCTATCTATCTATCTATCTCTGATTGTACATATCTATCTCAGTCTTTTCATATCTATCTATCTATCTATCTATCTATCTATCTATCTAAGTTCAGGGATTTATGATGTTATCTAAGTTCAGGGATTTATGATGCCTTTCTTTAAGGCTGTTTCTTCATGACGTAGGCTCATGGCTCTCCACAGATCTCTTACGTATAATTTGCCGTGGCTTCTTGAGAAAGATAGTTGGGGAGTTTCCCGTTACCTTCTTCACGGCTTTAAATTAGAGTTGTCTTTTTCGTAGACTGGCTGCTATCCAAGGCTAGAGAGCACAGTCTACACTGCTATTTAACCGATTGCTTGTGTGAGAAGAGATGACTCCATGCTTTTCCCAAGATTAGCAATGAATGCAACAGACTCGACCGGAACTTGCACTCTGATTGCTGCTTCCAATTTCCAGGTTTATAACCATTATGCTAGTTGCACATCGACTCCAGATAATACACGCACCGAAAATAATGGCCTTATGCTAGGCATAGAAAATATATACTAGATCTTCTCTATTTTCATTTTTATTTTCCATTCCTTATTTTCTGTTTATTAAAGTCCTTTCAGAGTTGATTTTTTTTTACTTTTCAGTATATAATCCGCGGTATTATAGATGGGTTAACGGAACCGTCCAAACAACGTCAATGGTTGTACTAGGACGAAGTCAAAAGTCCGAGAGAGTACTGATCTGGTTCCAGATTTACGATCTCTCTAAGGTACCCTTAGAATAGTTGCAGTATACACAACAGTTTGATTCTGTGAGTTGGAAACGAGTAGAAGCCAATCATTCAAGCTGGTAGACGAAAATAAATATACTTTTTAAAATAAATGGGGTGTCTATTCTAATGGGTATCCACTACAAATTAGGATTAAAGTGATAAAAATCCATTAGTTCTGTAGAAATTGCTTTGCTTACGTTTGGATACGAAACTGAGTAGATATGAACTTTCAAGAATCTGGGATGAAAAGGATTTGCCCTTATATAGCAGTATTCAGCCTTGCTTGATCGGTGACTGCCTCCGTGGCCGCGTTGGACTAATGCCCGTTGGATATAACGAGGTTTCTCCTGAAAAGAGGGACGCAGGTTCAAATGCTGCCGGAGGGCGCACCTTTTCATGAATAAGATTCCTTGAACATTCAGGCCGATAGACGAAAATAAATATATTGTTTAAAATAAACGAAGCGTCTACTCGAATATGTGTATCCACTAAAAATAACATTTAAAGTGTTAAGACACTGTCGGGTTAATAAATAAAAAATCCATTAATTCTTCATATATATGTACAAGTTTCCTTAAAAATATATATATATATATATATATATATATATATATATATATATATATATATATTTCATTAAAGATCCAAATTACAGAGAACCAATATAATTTATGAATTCCCATGACCTTTAAAGAACTGTGTCCCTGGTGAAACCAAATTCATGAATTATTGGACATACCACTACATGACTATCAAGAATACTCACGTTACATATCTCTGATCATAAATCAATTAGGACTCATTTAAACACATATGGAAACCTAAAAAACTCCACCATCAACATATTTGTACAAAATATAAATATAATAGCCTCATTCACATGTAAAAAAATAGCTAAAATAATGGAAGCTTTAATAATAAAAAGAAAAAGCCAACACTCAATAGCATCAACTATGAACATGGCCACAATCTGCGGACCGTTTTTTTTTTATATAATAAGAAAAAAAAAACAAAAAAAAAAACATTCCCATCACTCCAAATGCATAGAGAAAAATCTACACATTCAGTAAAAAAAGATGAAGCAACATCTTTGATAATAGCTAAAAGAATAGCCGAAACGCTCGGATATACAAACAGTTTTTATACACTTTATTCCAGAAAATCTTTTATACGAACAGAAGAAAAATTGAATAAAAGTTATTATACATAGTCAAAAAAGTAAGACAGGATTTTTTATTTGAAATTTTATGATAACAAAAAAAAAAAAAGCATTTTATGATTAAATTTTGATTTTGCTCTCGTCAAAATATCCTCCTTTAGCCTTGATTAGTGCAGCACAAATTTTTGGCATTCATTGCAAAAGTTTCTAAAAGTACAAGTTTGATAATTGATTCCATTCTTTTTTCAATGCCACTAAGAGCTCTTTCTCATTTTTTTCACTCTTTCTGGGATGCTACAAATTTTTGATCTGTAGTCTCTCTCTCTCTCTATATATATATATATATATATATATATATATATATATATATATATATATATATATAAACTGTAATCGGTAAAGAGATAGTGCCAAAATCTAACCCTACCAAACCTGCCAAAGTAAATTGTATATATATTTCTCCGCATGTATTTATAATAGAAAAAAGCGGCAAGAAAAGATGAGTTGGCCTTGCAGCAAATGATAAGTCTTACTCAAGATAATTATAATCGCACTTATCTTTCAAATGTTGGTTTGATTTTTTATATGCGATCACCTGATCATAAATCCCAGAATTAATTACTTAGTTGAAAAACGTTATTTCATGCCGGGGATCTGGTAAGACCGTTAAAAGGTGGTTTAAATCCATCATTCTGTCAGCGCCCAACCACCATTTGTTAACTGCAACAACATTCTGCAGGTAATTTTTCTCAGTTCCACCAATCAATGCATATATATATATTTCTGAAGATTTAAATGCCATCTTAGTAGATTACCAGGTCCTTGCTAGCCAAACAATGATTCATTGTATACCTGACCATATTTTCCAGTGCCCCAAATGTCTTGCAGATAACGAGTCAACTGCCACTATACCATATATAGACAGCGTGGTCATAGAAATCACACCTTAAGCGATCTCAAGGTAGTATTGAGTTCTATGTCAACACTATTTATATATACATAAGCTCTATCCCCGATAAGAGCGCCCAAAACCTATAAATATAGCACATTCTTGAAGGGAAATGTCAAATTTTTGCCAGAGGGTTACATAGTATTTCATTTAGAGATATCATATAATTCTTAGAGAACTGAATTTATTTACAGATATCATATAATTCTTTAAGAATTATATATCTGTAAATCAACACAATTTTCTATTTTAGTCCTTGACGAGTGGGTACTATTTCTGCGAGATTCTGAGTCAGAAAGTTAAGTGAGAATTTTATTTGTTTACTATTAATTTTCTAATTTCTTAATATTGTGCAATTTATTTACAAAAGCGATCGATGATTTTTTTTTATTTCAAAATAAAATCTTCAACTCGAATCGTGCTCTCCTAGCTACTGACGTGTTTAGTGTTATATATATATATATATATATATATATATATATATATATATATATATATATATATATATATATATATATATATATATATAGTGTGTGTGTGTGTATATATATATATATATATTCAGGCAAGGTGGAGTAATGGATAGAGGCTCGGATTGAGTTCGAATTCCAGTCGATTTCATTACATTCACTTACATGCTAATACTCTTGGGAAAGGTATGAATCTTCTTTTCTCTTCAGCTATGGGTAAATAGCAGGACAGACTGGGTTCTTTAGCTTTGGATGGTAACTGGTCTAGGAGAAGGGCAACTCTGGTCGTTTGGAGACCTTGTGGCACGTAGTGCATCAGGTGGCTGTATTCGGCCCTTCAAAAGGTGTGGCTGGTTCTTTCACCACTATAATCGAATCTCATGTGCTGGTGTCGGGTTGTCTGTTCCTAGGAACTGAGTTGCTTGACCCTCATACATCGAATTCGACGGGAGAGTCGAGTATATTTAGAATAAAGGTATCTTTTTAAAGTATTGCTTACATTAACTTTTCTTTTTTTATCACAAGAGAACGGATGTCGGTGTTCAATGTATGTGCACTCCCAAAGATCTATTGGTCATACATATCTTTATGGCT